TAGAACAATGTTATTCGGACTTAATTTGCTAACCTAATAACCTTTGAATTGAGTGTAGTTATTGTGTATGAATTATAAGTGAAGGACAATGCTTCTAAATTTTTTTGGGAAATATAAGTTTTCTTTCCTGTTATATAGTATTATGCATGTCATGGAAAAGTGGTGAATAACTCGTGCAAAAATGGAAATGTTCATCTAAAAAAATTTTAGTTCATGGCTCTATACATTTTAGCATGAGAGACTACCAAGTGGAAGACTCCAAGGGCGATCACAGATTTTTTAAGAAAGTGTTTGCAATTTGTCGAGATCCGGCGTGAGAGCCCAATACTAAGGTTGCTATACAAGATGGGGATGCAGAGCAAGAATGTAAGGAGTTGAAGCTATCTACTAAGGTTGCTATACAATTCCCCTCTCGGTAGGGCTGGCAGTCCATCGGGGTGGGGGTTGGAGAGTAGTTTCTATCCCCGTATTTTCGCTTCAAAAATATTCGTTCACCTTAGGTCCACTCCTGTTAGGGGAAATTTTAATCCCCATTCTCGCCCTGCGGCTAAATTTTGATTTCCATCACATTCTTTAGCTCTACGCATGAATTATCCAGTAATAGGTCTTTCACAATCATATCTATTTATTCGCTGTTCATAACAATTAATTTCTACAATTTTAAGAAAAAAAATTAAAAAAAAACCCATAAAATCTCACAAATGAATTTGTAAGAAGGATAAAAACTCATTATATAACAAACTAATCAAACATAAAAACTCACAAAAAATAATAAATATAACAAATGTGTATTTCACTTAATTATTTTAATTGTTATATATGTTAGTGGGGAAGGGGCAGAACGGGAATGAGTGTCAGTTAATCGTCGCACAAATTTATACGGATATTCTCGTATACGTCCATTATTCAATATGCATGATTTACCTCCAATCCAAATGAAAAGAAATTAAACAAACACCCGTTTTTTTCCACTCCACTGTTGTCAAAGGTTGATGGGGTTGGAACTGGTTACAGTGGACGGCTGCAAAAGAGCCAAAAAAAAAAAAAAGGAAATCTTGTTAAGTGGTATAAGCAAGTTCAGTCTCATGTATAAACAAAATGCAATGGCAAGAAGCACCAGCGGCTCTTGTGGTATCGAACAGATGAAGGATCAAATATATGAATTCCAAAGGGAGGGATTTGGGTGGCGAGGCTATCAATGTTAAAAAAAAAAAAAGACAGTTTCGTTGGGACGTTGACGACGTGGAAGGACCGGGACCTCATTATATTATTATACGGTTTATACCAATGTTATCAAAACCGGATCGGTCATCGAACCGGCAAGGGGACCGGGTCAATGGTTCACTGGTTCAACCGTTGGGTCAACTGGTCGAACCGGTCATATAATAAAAAAATAAAAAATATATATATAATAATTATAAAACTTAATAATTTAGCTAAAAAATATAAAATATGTATAAAATACATAAAATTTGCCATAAAATTAATGAAATTAAGTAACAAAGTAGGGGTTATTGTATTTTAAAGCAAAGTAAAAATGTTCAAGTAAATTATAAAGAAAAAGAAAGGTGTCATTTATTATTTTTTCAAGAATAAGGTTAAAAAAAATCAATTATTTACTGATTTAGGGCAAAAAAATTTATTTATGTAATTTAATTTTTAAAAATTGATTTTTGTTAAAAATCGGGCGATTTTCCGATTTTTGTTAAAAATCAACCGATTTTCTGATTTTTAGTCGGTTCGCTTCCTTAAACGGTTCAACTAAAGAACCGGACCGGTTAGGGTCCAGGTTCACGATTGAACCAGTCCGATTCTAACAATGATTTATACCCTACGCTTCTTTCGGTAATGTGACGGGTCTGCCTTCTAGAGGGAGAATTTTCCACAAAGGCAATGCCAAATTCGTCTCGTCCCTTTTTTTTTTTTTTGTGTGGCCAACTTGACCCAACATGTTTGCTGGGTCCACAGCTTCTGGATCGTGTCTGCCTTCTAGAGGGAGAATTTTCCACAAAGGCAATGCCAAATTCGTCTCGTCCCTTTTTTTTTTTTTTTTGTGGCCAACTTGACCCAACGTGTTTGCTGGGTCCACAGCTTCTGGATCGACTTTTATGAGTAATGTTACATAAATTTGATAATCATAATTAGAGGTGATAATCTTAACTCATTATCTATTAATCTATTCAACCCGTCCATAAATAAATGGGTTAGGTATCTATATTAGTTAATATGAGTTGAGTAATATAATTCATTTTAATTAAGCGGGTTAATATGGATTATAAATGGATTGAGTATTTATATTTTTATTAAATAACACAAATAATAAAAATAAATAAATATATTAATATATCAAAAAATACACACATTATTACACTAAAAAATACACACATATATACTAATACACCAAAAATACACACTAATACACCACCCAGGAGTTGACCCATGACCCATGGATCGACCCATAACCCCACAACCAACAGACTTACCCATACCCCACAATTGACCCCGGCCCATTATATTTGTATTTTTTTTATTAAATATGTTTTAGTTTTTGTGTGTGTATTTTTAGTGTATTAATGTGTATTTTAGTGTACTAGCAATGTACGACGTGCATTGCACATGATTATATTTAAATAATAATTTTATTATAAGAATTTTAAATTATATATGTAATAAAATTTATTAATATTAGAATTTATTTCTTCATATAAATATAGACACAAATATAGAAAATTGTATGTAAATATACCGCTAATAAATAAGTTCAAAAAAAAATTAGAATCAAATACAATTAATAAAAAAAGTCAAAAAGAACTTAGAAGTCAAAGAGGCATAGGAAATAAGATTTGAATAAAAGTAATAAAGAATTTTGAATTCAAATACTGTTTATAGAAGAAGTCAAATAATTATAAAAAATCAAATTTGGATGAAAATAATAGATGGGTATCATTGACTTTATATTAATAATTAATGATAAAATAGTAAATCAAAAACTTTTCCCATATGTTGTCATTGACTTTATATTAATAATTAGGGATAAAATAAGAAATCAAATTTTTTTCAAATATGTTGACATTTATAAGTAGTATAGATTAATGTGTATATTTTTAATGTATTAATTTGTGTGTGCTTTGGTGTATTAATGTGTCTATTAAGAATTTTAATTATTTTATAGGTTAATCAGTTTAATTCAATCCGTTATAAACCAAACACATTATAACTCATTTACTAGGTGAATGAAAAATAGATTTGATTTATTTTAGTTCAATCCAATTTAAATCAACTCAAAACCAACTCAACTGACTCATTTGCCACCCCTAATCACAATTATTATTAAATAAACAATAAATTTTAATAAATATTAAGACCCACAGTAAAATTAAGATCACAATAAATTAGTTCAATAAATTATATCAATAAATTAAATCTCAATAACATTGCTCATTTATAAATCCAAGTAACATTGCTCGAGTTTTATTCATACNATAAATTATATCAATAAATTAAATCCCAATAACATTGCTCATTTATAAATCCAAGTAACATTGCTCGAGTTTTATTCATACTCTTCCTTGTATGGAATCTAATTCCTCCCACTTTCGAGTCATGTTGGATACATTAAAAAAAGGATTAATTATAGCGGTGGTTCCCAAAGTTTACATTTTGTCCTATTTTTATCTCTAATATTATAATTGTATTACATTGGCCCTAATATATTGAATTTATTTTCAAGTGGTCCCCATGTATAACGCTATCTAAATTTTTAACGATTTTTGCTCATATGCTTTAGACATACTCGCAAATGAAGGATATTTTAGACAAATCATTATCTACTTTGCCCAAAAATTGCTACAATAGTCCTCAAAGTATACTTTAGGAACTATTGATGCAATTTTGGGCCAAGTAGATAGTGATTTGTCTAAAATACCCTTTATTTGGGAGTATGTGGAAAGTACACGAGCAAAAACATATAAAAATTTGGACAAAATTATACATGGGAACCACTCGAAAATAAATTCAAAATGTGAAAGACCAACGTGATACAATTATAATATTAAAGATCAAAATGAAACGAAATATAAATTTTAGGGACTACCGCTACAATTAACCCTTAAAAAAAAATATTTTGTCTACACTATTTGCCAGAATTATGAAAACTCGAGTTGTGTTTAACCACACAATCTCTTCCCATCGTGTAAAGTATAAAAAATAATTAGATTATCTTAAATCTAATTATTATACCTAATGAGCCAAAGTATAAAAATAATTAGATTATCTTACATTATCTTAGATTAAAAACCTTTAAAAATAATTAGATTGTCTTAAATCTAATTATTATACCTAATGAGCCAAGGTATAAAAACCAAGAGTCTTAAATATCTAAGCCATTACCTTTCTTAAGTTTTGAAAGTTCACAAAAGATCTTCTTCATTCGACTTTGAAGCTTAAACTCTTTATTTGAAGCTTTCAGATAAATTAAAGCAGCGTGACCATGAACTTAGATTGAGATTTACAATAAAACTTCACAGAATTAACTAATTACAAATGAGCAATTTCCGAACAAAAAAGTTTTTAACTTCTTAAAAACAAAAAACAAAAAAATAATTTCATCATTAAGGCAAAATATGTTTGATCACCATATGATAAAAGCTGATCTGGAAAATAAAAAAAAAAACACGCGCACGAAATTTAGGTGTCATCAGTGAAAGAATATGTACCAGCGATGAAATGAATTAACGGAAAAAGAATATAACCGAATTTAACCCACAGTTATAGATCTCACATTATATCAGCTATTTATGATCAAATGTAAAAATTCTTCTCCCTCCTCTTAGACTGGATTTCAATGTGAGTTTTTATCTTGCACGGTGCTAACCAATGCTTAAATGATCATGCCACTGAACCAGCACAATGTCATAAGGTCAAAGGAACTGAAAAAGCATCCTCAAACAAGTGAAAGGACAACAATTATGGACTATGTGGATTTTATAGATGATGCTCAGTCAAATTGTATCCAACCATGAATCAAAATCATCCAAAAGTTTAGACTTGGAAGCAGGGTGCAAGGAAGAGGAAGATAGAACATCAGAAGGGGCAGCCTTTACCTCACTGGACTGTGATGGACTATTGTTGTTTATTAGACTGGATGTTTGCTTGAGTAGGTCATCAATGGTATCATCATCCAGATTGGCAGATACCAGTGCAGAACTAGATAAATCTGGGTCTTTCTTCACTGGTTCAGCAGGAACCAACCAAACAGATGAAATTCCTTCCAACAACAAATTTGAGGTTTCTCCTTGTGACAAATAAGATGTGTGACCGGACTTCTCCGTGATGCCATGGGAATCAAGAAACTTTGTTCCACTAAACGAGTCGAGAAGCATGTCAAGCTCTGCTTCTGCAGCTGCTGCCTCAAATCTAGACAGTTTCTTCGCAGGGTTTGAAATAGAATCCACATTGAGTTCTGCTGTAGATTCCAAGAAAATGCTTTGACTAGTACTGCCAATATGCTGGACTTCATCCTTCACCTGATTTATGGACTTTGACCCTTCACTGGTATAAGCTGGAAATGGATGGCTGGTGGTGGTTGTGGTGTCTTGATCAGTGTTCTTCTCTCCTTCAGAAACACAATGGGACGCTAAGGAATCAGAATCTTTCTCAGCCATATAACTCCTACTTGGAGCTTGACCCTGGCCAGATCCCTGATTGCTGCTTGCTTGTAACTCAGTGCACTGACACATGTAACATGGAACTAGCTGATGATATCAAAAAACAAAACACTAACACAAACACAAAGAATCTCTATTTTAACTTTCTCCATAAATATATTCGCTGATAAAAAAGGTCATTAAAAACTGAAGGTGCTACGAATGACCAATGGGATATTTTTCAAGATTTGTATTTCATTTTCTAGTTTTTTGTTTAGATTTCAGTTATTTGGTCTCAGGAAGATAATGATTAACTATCCAAAGATGCATGTCCCAATCCAGACTAACCTGCTAGAGAAGTTGCATATCGGAAAAACCTTTTAAGTACTCTTGTTAAGAGAAACCATTATCCTGGTGTCAGGAAAGTAACAGCCATAATTTATTCATTGTACGTTTTATAAGTTAGGCATCCGATATTTTGTGTCATAGCATGCACACATTCAGTAAAAACCTACAACGAAAGTCAAAAGCCGGCATACTCAAGTTTCATCATTTATTGCTCAAATAATCTACTTATGGCATATCTGTTACGTCCATCGGGAGAATGAACAAATGCTCAGCAGACCTCTAAGTTGAAAAGCAAAATCAAGTGCAATCAAGATTCACCCTACAGCAGTCAAATTAACTTTCCAAGACAGGTGAAATTTATGCTATAGTAATAAGTAATATGAAGAAAGATACACCTCTATAACTAAGAGAAGAATGCTCTCATCTTCTAAATGTGATATGCTAATGCAAAGATCATCAACAGGCAGTGTAATTCCAATTACCCCAATAAAAATATTATTCGTACCAGCTCTGGTGGTAATAGATCTGCTTCAATAAAAAGCCTTTCTGATGGATCAGATTTTGCAAGTTGTTCAGCAAGAGCATGCAGATTGAGAGAAATGATGCCTATGACAATAAGAAAATAACATAGAAGTGAGCAGGGGCAGAACTACGATTTTCTATAGTGGGGGGCCAACCTAAAATTCATTAATAAATATTTTTCTCTAATTTTTATGTAAGCACAGTTTCATTAAAAGAATGTCAACTGGTAATTGACATACACAAGCAAAATACACAAAAAAGCGCTAGTAAAAAAGGCTCACATAAAAATTTCCTATTGTCAGGGTGCGTTAAGATACTCTCTGATGAATTAGGCTCCGTTTAGCCCTATACTGGAGTGTGTACCCATTTGGAAGTGCCTTGAGCTATATTGGAAGATCTTTCTTCGCAGAATAAATGTAGTTTATCTACCCAAAAATGTAGTATAATCATCCACAAGTCCTAATAAGAAACATTTGTAACAGTGTTAAACTGAATACTTAAAAAACATTGAGTCTTCTCAGTATCAGATGTCCCCAAAGGGACACTTTATCATTGAGTCTTTTAACAAATAATTTATAAAGCCCATAAATGACTCAACTACATTGAAACAATTTAGAAAAAAATTCAATATATCACAAATCAATTAAAATTGAACATCGATATAAGAACGATTTAATCTGCCACAAGCAAACTGTTCAAGTCTAACTAATCGAACCAATTTAACCCAAAACATAATCCATAACTGACAAATTCTGGATATTTTACTTTTAAAAGAATCCCACATTTGCTAAAATATAAAACTATCATTAAATTTTTCAGAAACTTTTGAGTGAGAGGTTGGGAGCAAGTTCTAAAAAATTTTTAAACCCTAGAACTTTTCAAAATTGCAATAGAAGCAGGTGCCCTTCAGTTCTGCCCTCACTATGGCTCTATCATTAGAAGTGAACCAACATTCACAGAAAAGGGTGACTAGTAAATCTATCTAAAAAAAGGTTCAAATATAGCTTTATCCACTATAACTATCATGATAACCATAATTACGTTATTATTTGATGTCTTTTGCAAGGCCAACAATTCCTCAAACATGGCTTGCCGCCATTGAGGCCTCCTTGCCAATATGAGGTTTGTAAATAAGAGATTAAATTTAAGATTTATCTATCTTCCATAAAGGAGCCAAATGAAACCAAAGTTTCATGTTCAGTTTTGAATTAGAATCATTCAAAATAGTGAATCATGAAATCTTACCTATCAGATTCCATTATGGCATACACAACTTTTTCTGAAGAAGAATTCGCCATGATATATCCAATCAGGTATGCGACCTTGGATTGTTGTTGCATATTCACCGTTGTGTTTTTTCATCTACCCAATTAGTCAAGAAAGTTTTTATGATATGTCACTATGAATCTTTGATACTTTCAACTTCATGATTGTATTCCAGATAGTTAAGTCATTACTCTTTGTAAATCCCTCTAAAAAGAATAGGTCAACCAAAGCTTGAATATAAAAAGTAACTCTTAGCTGGATGCACGATGCATTTGTATGCTACAACATTAAAATACTGTTACAACTCAGCCAAACATTGAAGGCTTTGAACGACGAGTACCGAAAAATCAAAATAAATATTCCTGACCCTGCAAGATGTTATCACGAATGGCTAGCCACAATGCATTTTAAATTGCTGGCCCCTATTTCCCCAGGATTATCAATATTCATAATTATATAATTTCACAAGGACCTACATGAAATTATTGGGTCTTGGCGATCATGCATCCCATACTGGTGTCTTCCAATTTTCTCTTCTCAAGACCAATTGAAAAGAAATAATGTTAATGTAAAAGAATGTCCACCAACTAAAACTCCCTTGTTTATCTTTTGCTTTTCTAGCGTGCAATGACACCTTAGGGGCATTGAATACCCTTCAACTATCTTGACAAAATTTAGAAGTTTCAAAGCCTATTAACAACTCTCATTTATATGTTTTAGTTTAATAAATCATGTGAAAAACAAGGTCATGACACAAGAAATATGTAGTAACCCCTGTTTGTAAAAACATGCTTCTGATACCATGAATTGTTCATATCTATGTACACCATACAGACTTCAGTCCCATGTTTTCAATGTGTGGGATGTTTTGTCTTTGACAGACTTTCAGCTCTGGGCCCATATGTCGGCCTAATAAGACTGTGGTTTCCTATCAAAACAATATGAAATTATAGAGTGATCTCACTTACCAAAAAAATATTAAGTGATCTTGGCCGTTCATATGTTTTGAATTTTTAGCTTTAATAGTTTTAAATGAAAGAAAAATTTGATTAATTATAAACAAATTTGAATATACAGCCGAATTAGGGGATATGGCAACACAAATCAATTTGGACCATGCTCAATTTCTTTTTTCCAACGACGTCAAATATTTTTTATTTAGATAAATCTGATAAGCTATTTTTTTGGAATTTTATAGTTGATTTTGAATTAACATAATCGATTATAATATTTAGGATCGATTTCAAGTATCTTAAAAAATTATAATTTGATCCCAAAAAAATATAACTTCAATCTTAAAAGTTATAACATGACCCATAATGCTCGAGCTTTAATTTGACCCCAATCTCTTTGAACTATTATGTGTGATGATCGATCTTTAAAATTTCGATACTGAAGACATAAAGGGGTTTGGTTATGTGAAATGGGTTTATTCAAATAATGCTCTTAAATCTTAACTTGGCAATTATGGATAATTTATAATGAGTTTTTTTTGGTTCCTTTATACATTGCTTGTCTATATGGGTTGCACCCTTAATTATTGGTAATGGAATAAAATATATGAAAAGTATTATTAATTATTATAATCACAAAAATAACTTTAACGTTATTATTTCAAAATATTATTAAATTTTAGGTTAACCCACAATCCAAAAAGTCTTGCTCCACCCTTGTCTGTGCCGAAAGATTTTCTTCAACTACTTGGGTCTATATAATAAGAGATATAGAAGGATGACTTCAACAAACCAAGTTAAGTCCTCCAACCAGATAGAACTATGGCTTGAATCAGCCATTCTGAAAAGGGTAAGTTGACTACCATTCACCTTCCCCAAACACTACCATAGGCAGAAGTCTTATGGACTGGGTATAACCTTTTGCCATCCAAAGAATCTAAAAGACGCATAGCTAAACGTAAAATCCACTTTATGCCAATCCAATAAGCACTAAATAATTACATATATTGCACTTACAAATCGATTAATTTGGCAATTATGTTTGTCAGATAAATTCATCCAAGATTAATCCAACTCAACAAAGTCTCGTACTCGCATTTTTGGGTCAGCTACAAGAATTATTGTTTTGTCATTGTAATCTATTAAGGGTCATGTTTTCCATTAGACCATAAGTTATCATATTTTTTTTACTATTTTATTTAAAGTAAATTTTTACCTTCTTCTATTGCTAAGCATACTGTTAGTAGCTATCACACACGTCACTCATTCCACCGGTGTCACAGTAGATCGTCTATACATATATTTTGATTTTCATTTACTATAAGTGTTACCTCTAATTTTTTGCGGATATAATCATTCCTAATTCTATCATTCGTAATTTTACTACATATCCATTTTAACATTCTCATTTTTGCCACATTCAATTTTTGAACGTTTTGTTTCTTAACTATCCAACACTCAAGACCCTAAAGCATAGCGGATCTTATGGTCATTCTATATCACTTTCATTTTAGCTTAAGGGGTATGCATCTATCACACAATACATTGAATGTATCCCTCCATTTAATCCATCCTACATTAACCCTATGAGTCAATGCATTCCACTATTTAGTCATCCCAAATGAATTGTGTGAAAAAGCAAACACCCTGGGCCAACTTCTATTAAGCAGCAGCTGACTTTGAGGATGGATCTTCATCCTTCCTCTTCACAATAAGCTTCACACTAATAAATTAATCAAAGATTTTTATTCATAAAACACAGAGATTCAACACATGGAACTTGCAGAAAAGTAACAGACAAGGAAGAAACTACATGTATTTTTGCACTCATGTCACACCTCCAGAAAAGGGGGTAAAAAAAAAGGTGCCTAATTGTAATCAAAATGACCATATGAAGAAGAAGAACATATAAGCGCAGAATTTTGGCCTTTGTAGGCTTTGCTGTATAAGAACAAACAGATAACTCCTAAGATGTGGATAACCAATATGTACGTTGGTGATGTTGCATTAGTATTCTATATTCCTACTTTCCTTCCATTTGCAGACTTAGACCCATCAAATGAAAGATTATAAAACATCAGAAACAACTTACTTCACGACTTGAAGTTGCTTTATCCTCTAATATGAAATTATCATCTGCAATCCATGATAATATGCTATGCCCTTCGACAGAAAGCAAAGAACCCACTCCCTGATAGAAATCTAAGAGAAAACTGTCAATCCCCAATAAAATAACTCAGCATAACTTTCACACAAACATTCTAAAATAAAATTACATACCACTAAGAGAATCATCGAAGGCCGCAAAGCTGTCAAAAAACTGTGTTTGGGACTGAGCCTTGGCCTCAGAAATTAGGTAAGTATAATCTGCCCCTTTACTCTTTGGAAAAACAACATCAGTTGCTTTACTTTACTCAGGCTATCTTGGGATAGATTATCAGAACCTGAATCATTAAACTCTTCCTCATACCGATCCCAATTGGAGTGGAGTAAGCTAGAACACTGAGACCGGTCGGACTTGACCCGAACTTGCTTGGCGGACGGCGAGGCTGCTCCGATAGTCCTAGTTGAAGGAGCTTTGGAAGCTTGATGTGGAATATGCTTCTTAGTATGATGCTGAGAATGAGCTCTCTTCGATTTCGCCAAAGCCTTTGCATCCATTCTCCAGTGAAATTGCGGAAACCAGAACTTCAAAGTGGAATTTCCTTCCGGTTTTCCTTAGTTTTCTCAGGAATCAAACATGTAATTAGGGCTTCTTTTAAACTAACAAAAACTATAGGGAAATTTGGGAACCGGTCCACTTTTCAAGAAACTCTAAAACTTTATTTGGGAATAAGTCCATTTCAAAATAAAAATATCAAAACTAAAATTCAATTTTGAATTGTGAAAATTCCAAAACTGATTCTACCCACGACCCAATTAAAAAAGAATTTTGGGTTTACTAAGAAAGAATACTCAATTTCATGTCAAGAATTTCATAAAGCAACAACCACTGTTGGTGAAATGCCCTGACGGAAATTTCTTAAAGGCCATGATACAAATTTCGTGTACTTAATCACAGCAACAATACGACGAAACACAGAAGTACGATTGAAAATTGAAAGAAATAAGAACGAACAAATTGACCAAACCATTTCACACCAACCTTCCAATCTAAGAAACCACATGGCAGTTGATGGCGTAAGCTGTTATAAATATCCTCTCATGTTTACCAAAAAATAACTAACCACTTCAAAAAATAAGAAACAACAAACTGAAAAGAAGGGAAAGTAACAAACTAATAAATCAGAGAATTAAAGAACAGAGAGGAAGATTTTGTGAGGATTCGGAAATTCGTTTGGGCGGAGATAAAATTCACTAATACAAAAAATCCGTTTGGGAGGGATAAACGAATTTGTCTGTGCGTCGAGAAGAGAGGTTCCGGAAATTCGTCTGAGCGTAGAGAAGAGAGTGGGTGTGTGTGCTGAGATGTTTTCGGTTGGGGGGGTTGTTTTTTGGATTGGTGTTTCTGGGTGGGAAGGGGTTTCTGGGTTTAGGGAGAGAAAGAGAGAGGCAAAATTATAGAGAGAAAAGCGGAGAAACTTATATTTAAATGATGATAAAGTCAAAATTAAACGAGAGCTACAAAGTACGATACGGATACGTGACACGGGTACGATTCGATATGGATACGGCGATACGATAAAATTTAAAAAAATAAGATACGGGTACGGTCAGGATACGTCTATAATAAAATATATTTTATATTTTATTATTATTTAACAACTTAGAAAATATAATTTTTTAATAATTCTTTAACATTAGTAAGTAAAATTAGAAATTTTTTATAGTGATCTGTTCATAAAATGAGCATGACAAATTAAAGGAATTATAANAATATAATTTTTTAATAATTCTTTAACATTAGTAAGTAAAATTAGAAATTTTTTATAGTGATCTGTTCATAAAATGAGCATGACAAATTAAAGGAATTATAATAACATTTAACTAGTTGGTTTTACAAGTATTTATTTTTAAAAGTATAGTGTAAGTGATTCATTTATTTTATACCCTCTTAATATATAATAATAGATAATACTTAAAAAACACTCGTGTTTTTAAAATCAGATTAAATTTTGTTGATGTTTTATATTGTATGTGAACTCCAAAGAAGGGTTATAGCTTAAAATTGAAAATTGTACATCTTACACCATGTTTAGAAGTATCCGCGAAGTATCCACATATTTTATTAATTATCGGATACGGATGATGCGTATCCGATACGTATCATCGAGTATCTGACGAGTATCGTATCCGATACGGTATCGAATACGAGTACGTCGACCTTGACGAAGTATCCGTGCTCCATAGAACGAGAGTAAAGATAATTATCGGATCTTTAAAAGAAAGTAAAATTACACCATTAAAGATTTGAGTAAAAATTTGAGTCTCTCTTAATCTCCCTTGATTTGGTATAAGTTTGAGTAAATATTGGAACAAATTTTTTAGATTTTTTTACTTAAAATTAAATTTGAGTCGGGATTGAAGATGCTCTAATACTAGACCTATAATGATAACAAATGAAGAGAGATTCATTTTTTTATTCAAATTAAAAGAGACTCAAATATTTAATAGTGAGATTACACATTTCTTTAAAGATTTAATAGTTATATTTTATCCTCTTTTAAATTTGATTTTGTTTTCATTTAAATTTAAGTTTCTCAATTGAAGATGTCTATAACAAATCAAGGTTTTTATCTTTTTTTTTTAATTCAAATTTGAGTAAAAATTTGAGTTATCATTAGAGATAATCTTATACCATGTTAACAGTGTCTTGTGCTGTAATCGTTCCCAATAAATAAACAATTCTACAACTGCTTGTAAGAACTCGAAACGGGGGGAGGAGTGCTTAAGCAGAAGACTTTAAGACTTGTGAATAATGGTGTGTGAGTAAACAGCGGAGAAGTAGACAACCTAAGATTGAGCCTAGTGGCTCTGGTTAATGCTACAATAAACCAAGAACAATGGTGCAAGCTAGAGACGAGCAACAAGACACAGATTATATTAGTTTGTTAGTTAAAAAATTTGGTTAATCCACTCTAATGGAGTCTTGTGTTTCTGAGAGATTTTCTATTACTTAAGAAGGTAAAGTTACGATTGTAGATATTACAATTCATTGAGACCTTTTGCATGGGTGATTGCTATTGGATCTATACTCACAAGTGAGGTGGTCTAACGTCATCATTACATGATTGGGTCTATAGATATTACATTTCCCAAGTGTAACATAATCTTCTAAAATATGCTAAGGTAATATTATGGCCTGTTCTTAGATATATTGTAATCCTCTAGACTTGCAAAAGATGTTGTGAACGATCTCTTATACTTCTAACCAGCTTGTAAATAAAGGAACTTGACCCAAACATCTAACCTGACCCGGAAATGTCACTTCTCCTCATGATGTAGCTTAGATTATCTAGGTATCAATACCTGAGGTCATATTCGGGCATCCTGAATTCTTTTAACTGAGGATGTATGTGAACAATTGAATAGTTCGCCTCATAGCCGTTGGCTACCCATAATTTATTGAACAATCTTATCTATTGCTGAAGAGCTTCTCCTGCTAAGAGAGGACAGAATCTGATTCCTCTCGATTTCAAGTTTAGCGAGATACATTAAAAAACAACATTATTGTTGAAACTAATTGTCCGAATCATGAAAGCCTGGGTTAAGTCTACCTACATGACCGGATTGAGATACTTTTCATTATTTTTTCAAATAATTTCACTTAATAGTAGATTATCTATCGTATATTCATGTGAGACCCATTATTTATATGTAGACTCTTCACCCATACACGATGAATGATCTACTATCGAGTGAAATTGTGTAAAAAAATAATAAAGATGATCTCAATCTCAACCTCTTCCCCATGCGTGTAATGCTGTCTACATCTGATTCTCTTCAAATCTTTGAATGCAGTGGGTCGTCCATGAAAACCCGGATTCCATATTAAACAGCACACCACATAGCTACCCAGTGATTTATGATAGGAATAGCAATTGAACCATCTTACCTATATACTTGGGAGCTTCTCCTGCTAAAAGAGTAAGGGTGTCCAAGAGGTCCTTTCACAAAGAAGCAAACTGAACAGAGCCAACGAGGAAACTCCTCCCTCCAAGTCTAACACTTAGAAGCAAAGCTTCTGGGCTAACAGCATACTTGGCTAAACCATGTGCCTCCCTCTTAGGCACATGACTCGCATACTGGAAATTCTGGAATTCGCATGTCTCTAGTCATTTGCACACTGAATTGGTATCCCCATCCATGTTTAACTCGACCATCTTCAGTTGAGGATGCCAAGTTTGAGAAAAACAAAAGGAGTAAGGAATGCCAGCATCAAGCAGACTCACTAGTTACCTCCAGTGTCCAACAGCCTCTGAATTTATCACACGTCAGCAGTAGTAGAAGGGTCTCAATCCTTTGAGATCCATTACCTAACCTATACATGAACATCACAGCCCAATCTCAATATTCAGTGTGCCACTTGCACCCTGATAAGGGCATCCTTCTAGTTTCCATGAGAACACCCTGGGATGAACTGGAGATCCCACTAACTAGTAACTTGGTGCCACTACCAACTCCCCAGAGAGTACTGCACTTCGAGAACTTCCCTAACTTTAATAAAGCTTTCTCCATGGCCATAAGGACTTCCGAGTGGCAGAAGTCTCGATGAATAAGTATTTGAGAAATGTTTTAACGACTTGCTCATACAAAACAAGAGGACCTTTCAGAATAACCTGTACTAATTTGCAAGAAATCTAAATCTATTGCCCGAATATGCCCAGCTTTAAAACAATATAATATTTCCTCTCAACTGCAGTATGAAGTTTTTTTCTACACTCCTGTCCCACGCATAATATTACCTACTTTTGCATAAACATGGAAGATGAGTCATCTCAAGAAATATCCAATAAGAGAAGACTTATCATAATTAGCTGATCTGATGAGGCCATAAATAAAGTGACACGTTGAACTATTTTGAGTAAACAAGCAAATAATGCAGATTTAAGAACTGGTCAAAATTATATTTTCATTCACACATTTTATCATTGAAAACTAAAATGAGATGTCAGCACTTCTAGTACAACTCAAAGTGAACCTTAAAACAGTCAGCAAGGACAAACAGAGCATTGGCTTAATTACCAGGAACTCATTTCAGTAAACTTGGTACAGCTTTCAGAAGGAAAAACTCACTACTGGAACTCTGCAGGATGAGAGTTCAGAATCATTATTTGCTGTCTTTTGTTCAAAAAGCATTTCAAATTCTTGTTCTGGAGCCAGAAAATACACTAATAGTACTCGAACTTCACTCAAACCCAGACAAAAGCAAAAGCAAAATTAAACTGAAATGCTCTTGAAAGTGCATATTTTGTTATAAATGTGCTTGCTTGGCATTCTGCTCAGCAATTGAGGATAGAATTTGTAATAAACTTGAAAATGATCTAAGCTTTTAACAACTTCAACTGTCATTTACCAGTTAGAGTTAATACATACATAAGACGGAGTTTGAAAAACAAGAATGTAAACGTAGGTGAAACAGCTTGAGCTCCACCCCCTTTTGGCCCCCTACCCCACTTGCTGTAGGTGGTCTTTGATATCCCATGAATACAGATCAAGGTATATCCAAAAAATATAGACACTTCTAAGACCATCTTCAACTTATGAGAGGAGAAAAAAACCTTCCCCATGGAAAAAGGGGTGAACACCACCCATGCCACAGTTTCATACTAAGCAACTACTATCAGTTACCAGGCATGGTCAAACAAGGTTTCATCCATCAGAAGCAGCCAATCTAAAAAAACAACAATTTCAAATAAACCTGAAACAGTTAACACGACGATCAAGAGCTGCAGTTTCAATTAAGAAGAGTTACAAAAACCATCATATCATAGCCAAAGGCAGATTAATCCAGCAACATGCACAGCACTGCCTCGGTTTGACTTCTTTAAATCATTAACAAAATCAACTCAAAAGTTCTCAAGGAACCAATCACAATGACAATTAGGCATCAAGATTAATTTTAACTGCATTATTTCAATCGTCCCTATTAGGTCTTTTCTTTCTCAAGGAAGAAATTATCAAATTTGATAATTCCTGTACTAACGAACCATAGAAACTGATCAACTTTTGTTCAAAAATAGCAATAATTCCTAAAGGAAACAACATTTGTGGTTAATGCCATATTTGACAGTTAAATCATCATATTAGGAGCAAGATCAAATGAACAGGAAATGGATGTAAGAACAGGCAACCTAAAATTCAATAAATGAAGTAGGCAAATCTCAAACAAGAAACTAAATAATATCAAAATCTAGTCTCCACTTCATCTCCAAAACACAGTCACACAATGTATTGAATGTTACAAAGCCAAAGAGGTCAATTTCCTTTAACATGATAAATACAGATATTTGCAATGGAAATGGATGATTAAATGACAAGAAGTCAAGAAGGAACTGGACATACAGCACAAAAAACATGGTCAATAATGGCTTGCTATGATGTAGTTCACTGCTACACCTAAGAAAATATAACTAAAACATCCCCTACATTAATGGAAGAGAACATTGCATCACAAAACATTAGATTCTCACAGGTCACATGCAGAATTACACATTATTCCTGGCCGAATTGTCTGACACATTCCCAAAATCAAAAAGCTGTAAGATTCTTGATTTTGGTTTCCTTTTAGTCAAATCTAAACAGGGCACAAATTTTTGGCATTTGCTGCTCAAAAATTATCAACTAATTGCTCTAATGTGGGAGCCATTTAGCCTCTCTCTCTCTCTCTCTATATATATATATATATATGTTGCAATCCCTTTTATATATATGTTGCAATTCTTTTTAAATTATTGGAAGAGAACGTGGTTAGAATAAACTTATAAAAAAATAACTTTTTAAAATAGAAAATATAATATTTAAATGTATTTTGAATAGTTAAAATAGAGAGTTAAATTAGAGTTGCTTTAATGTTCCGTTTGGTACGATAAAAAAATGAGATGATGAAAAGTTGAAAAAATAGAAAATTGAGAGATAAATAAAATATTATGTTTGATAAGGAAGAAAAATAAGAAAAATTAAAAAGTAAATAAATTAACTTTCTTTCTAACTCACCAAAATCAATCCTTCTAAAATCGAAAAGAAAATGAATGAAAAATTAATTATTTGTGTTGAGATGTATCTTACTTGTCTATATATCTTATGTATACATTAATTTCATATAAAAATACAATGGTAAAATATGTATATATATTTTTAAAAAATTTTAAAATTAAAAAATTAAAATTTTAAATTAAAAAAAATATTTTTAACTCAACATGATAACACGACTCAAACTCAATCCGATGATACGACTCGAACTCGATACAAAAATAAAATGATCAACTCACAACTCGATACAACACAATTAATAAAATGAGTTAAATTAAATTTAACTAATATTCAAAACAAACTCTTCACGACTCAATACCAATCTAACACGACACGATTTTACTCAATTGTCACCTTAATTTTAGTCAACACCAACAAAAAAAAAATATTATTTTTCATTCATCCAATCTAACACAAAGAAAAAAAAATATATCATTTCTATTTTTCATTCTTAAAAAAAAAAATTGTATCCCTCTTACTTCTCTTCTTTGCTGCTTTCCATCCTCTATATCAAAGGGGACATAAAATTCACCCATTGCCAAGCTATTAAACAGAAACTTAATAGGAGCCGAACAGAAATGAAATAATTACTCAGAAACAGATCGATAAAACTACTAAAAGCAATCCAAATACACTGAAGCAATTACTGCTTTTATTAAATCAAATTGAACCCTAAGCAGCATGGAATTTCTTTTTCTCATACTGCATTAAATGAACTAGAAAATTTTCTGTCACTGTAATAGAAATTAATCTAGTAATAATAAAGAAAAAAAGTCCTATCACTGATTGATCAAGTTCATTCAATGAGCCACAAGAATATCAGCACCGAACACATCAATAATTGGATCGGGCAAGTCAGAGGTCGGACTTGAAGGATTAGAGCTCAGAAAGAACACAGACTTGGCGGCCACAAGCTTCTTCCTCTGGAGGCATCGTGGTCCGCCGTAGATCCTCCCGGAAAAGCAAGGCAAACCATCGATCTGTGTTTGGACAGCTGTTGGTGACCGTACAGGTGATGATAAAGGAGAATGAGAAGGAGGAGCACGGTAAACAGAGATCTGACCTTTCGAGTCGAGTCTGTGTGTCTTGGCGTTGATTCGTGAGTCTCTCAGTTGAGCCAGAGCACCTGGCTTGAGGTACCGGAGATAGCTTGACTCTGCTTTTGATGATGACCTTCTGATTCGGCGGTCCATGTCGTAACAAAGACACACAGAGAGAGAGAGAGAGAGAGAGAGAAGGTTTAGGGGTGAAGGAATGGGGAAATTAGGGCGGGCTTTAAGGAAGAGGGTGTGGGCGGGAAGACAATGGAGGGAAGCGTCGGCTGAGGAGAGAGAAAATAAAAATATCGGTGTTTTCAAAAATGAGTGGGTGAGGCGCGGGATACTAAAACGTGCATGGCTTTGCTTAGCTCGTGACCATTTTTGCTTCTTTTTTTATTTTTTTTTGTTAATTACCTATTTAGCCCTTAAATTATATTATTTGAGTCAATTAAGTCCCTCAACTTTAGTTTGTATCAATTTTACCCCTCAACTTGTCAATGTGTGTCAATCAAACCCTTCCATCCAATTGAGATGGACAAACGCACGCATGACTCACGTGAGACAAGTTCTAGGGGTAATTAAGGGAAAAGAATGTATGTTGGTGCTAAATCTTCCACAGTTTCCCTCCTTTTCAGTGGTTCCCTCTATTTTTGTGCTGAGTTTTGCAGAAACAAAACAATATTCAACAAGAAAAAAAAGGAAAAGAATGAGAATTTTAGTGACAATGTAGCTGCGAAATGAAGTAAATCATCCCCCTCATTTATAATGAAGCACTAGCTTGCATGCATTCAATATATATAGTCGCTATCAAGAAGAATGTTTAATACACGTTAGTTTATAGATTTTGAGATCCCTTAACTCAGCTACATAGTTTCCTTAATTGTTTGTGTTTTATCATGTTTTTGATTCCCTGAATTGAACCACCTGATTTTTTATTCTTGCTCTTAGTTTACTCATCGTAGGAATTTTTGTAAGTTTTGTCTTGATATGGAATATAAGGAGCCTTAGAAGGAAATCTGTCTTTTCTAACTGTTGGATTCTCTTTTCTTGGTACTTCATTTTTTCCTTTATTTTCATTTTTGTAGATGACTCTTTGGGATTTTTATGTTTATGGCAGCATGAAATTGAAGTGGTTGATATCACAAAAGTGGAGGAACAGGCTAGACAGTTGGAGAAAGATTTGGTTGAGAAGACAAAGACTAGGATTAAGACCGCTGAGATCATATTGGTTGCAGCCAGAAAAATGAAGGAAGCCCCTAAAGCCTTTGAAGTTGTTGCTCTTGTAGAGATTAATGCCCTATCAAACAGTGAGAGCTCCTCTACAGTTCTTCTGCAAAAGCCTGATGGTGTAACTCTTTCATTTGAGGAATACTCATCTTTAACTGCCAAAGCTCGAGGGGTAGAAGAAGTTTCCAAGAAGAGAGATGGATCCCATGCTTGAAGTTGATGAAGCTAATGTGTCAAAAGCAAAGATCTTAAGGCGGGTAGAGGAAACTACGGACAAAGTCAAAATTAGCAAGAAGACATTTGAAGAAGCTCTGAGCAGAGTAGAGGCTGCAAATAGAGGGAAGTTGGCAGTTGAAAAGGCTCTGCGCAAGTGGCAATCTGAGCATGGTGTACATAACTCTACCAAGTTCAAGAATTCCTACCCACCTCACCTCCATAAAGATTCTCGTGTCTTAGATGCAAATGGATTGAATCTGGTTAATGATGAGTCAAAGCCAATTTTGAGGTCAACTCTATCGATAGGGCAAATAATGAGCAGAAAGCTGTTGTTAACAAAAGAATATGAGAATGAGATGCAAACAGAAAAAAGCAATGGGAAGCCTAAGGTGTCATTGGGTCAAATGCTTAGTAAACCCAATGGTGATCTCCATGCTATTACTCTAAAGGGTGAAAAGGATGGTGGTCACAAGCAACTCCCCACAAAGAGAAAGAAGTTTGGGTTTGCTCAAATCTTGCTCCTTGTGACAAAGCAAGGTAAGAAAAAGAAGAAACAAACTGCGAGTTTAAGATGCTATAGTGGTTAAATCAATTGATTTAAGATCAGGAATTGACTTATGTCTTGTATGTCTTACCCCCTTCCCCTTCCTCCTCCCCCTTAATCTCATTTTCTTCGTTTCTAATTATACTGGTGTAGTGTTAAGTTTGCATGGGTTGCTAATGTTCCTGATCCCTTTCGGATGTTGTTCCCCTTTTCTGGTGGTCGGAGGTGTAATACTGGGTTTTAAGATTATATATATTAGATTTAACCTTCCTCATATTCATGCATGGAAATTTGTTTTATTAAGTAGCACAATTTAGAATATGCTTAGGAAGTTAACATGGCTGTACAACTAGCATGATCGGGGAAAATGTGATATGTTCCCATATTGGATCAGTTTGTTGACCATAGCCATGTGAATATTGCTCTATTTTAAGATTCTCATTCTTCCCCCCTTTTTTTTCTTGCTGAATATTGCTCTATTTGTGCAAACGCCAACACACAAATAGAGGAAACCACTGAAAGGAGGGAAGCTTTGTAAATGAGGGAAGTTGTGGAAGATTTGACACCAAAATACATCTTTTTTCCTTAATTACCCCTGGAACTTGCCTCACTTGAGTCATGCGTGCATTTTGTCCGTCACAGTAAAGAGCTCAATTGGATGGAAGGGCTTGATTGACACACATTGATAAGTTGAGGGGCTAAATTGACACAAACCAAAGTTGAGGGGCTTAATTGACTTAAACAATATAGTTTAAGGGCTAAATAGGTAGTTAACTCTTTTTTGTTCAAGGGGATATTTTGGTTCAAAAGGACTAGAATACCCTTAATATATGTATGATTATTGAATTAATAAAACTAGATTAGAAAAATCAATCAAAGCTTTAATCACCTTGTGTATGTATGGAGAATGCCTCCACAAAATAAGAAGTGTAACCAATTCATTCCTCACTATCCTTCAAATATGGAATTCCTCCACACGATTCAAGGAGATAAATCGAGTCATCAAATTTTGGAACCCAATAGGTTACATTGTTGCAGAAATTACGGAAATCCTATATTCTTTGCAGTTTTTTGTAGAACAAAAGAATTGCTCTAATACATTGATTTAAGGTTTCTATTCAGAATCAATGAACGTCGTTTTTTTTCTATAAGTAGAAAAGAAAGTCAGTTTTACTCTGTTAGCGTTGACAATCAACTGTAAGGATTATATTTGTTATTTATTTATTTATTTTGCTTGCAAAACTTATAATACAAAAACCCTATTTGTATTGGCAATTATGAAATTCGTTATTTTTTACGATAAATCAAATGTATTTTAAAACTGTAATTTTATGCTAGCAAAGTTTTATCATTTACATTAAGTTTCTATATAGTGTCACACTATTAAGTCACTCCATTGCAAATTTGAAAATTTAATTTGTATAAATTTTCAAATTTTTGGGTAATGTATGGATTCATTTATGGTTGACACTTTATTTATAAACTATATGTAGTGAGTAACGATTTGAAGATTTTGGATTTACGAGTGAATTCACTCTTTATTGTCATGCTATTTTTGTAAACTATAAGAATTGAGTACAATTTTTCGTATTTTGGATATTTGTGTGTGGATTCACTCTTTATTGTAACATTTTTAACCTAACATTGTGAATTGAATACCAATTTTTAATTGTTTGGAGTTATTTGAGGATTCACTATTTACTATCACACTATTATTATACTATCTTTTTGATAAATTAAGTACTAAATTTTATAGTTCTTGTTAATCGTGTATTCATTCTTTGTTATCACACTCTTACTCTAGCTTTATGAATTGAGTACCAATTTTTAATTTTTTGTATTTATGTGTGGATTCAATATTTGTTGTCACACTATCACATTAGTTTATTGAATTGAGTACTAATTTTCATAATTTTCGTGTTAAGTGTGGATTCAATATGTGGTGTCAAACAATTAGGTTAGCCTTTTGATTTGAGTACTAATTTTTATTTTTTGGGAGTTATATGTCGATTCACTATTTGTTGTCACACTATTAGGTTAAATTTGTGAATTGAGTTCAAACCTTTAATTTTTGCCTATTATATGTCAATTTACTCTTTGTTGTCACACTTTAAGATTATCACATTGAGATTAAACACAACAATGATTTGTGTTTATAGAGAGATACCATAGAGTGACTAATTGATTTTACTGTTTTTCCATTACAAGCTACAACAAACAGCTGCTTTATGTTCATAGAGAGACACCACATAGTGACAAAATGAAATACCAAAAATATAATAAGCATCAATTGAATAATTAAATGAATTGAAACATCAAACCAACAACATGAACATACAAACAAATAAGAAAAACATTTTTTTGCATATCATATATCAAATTCTAGATTTTTTTTTGAGATTATAACGGTGTTACGGAAACAAATGACTATAAAATCTCTGTGTATAGATTTTATATAAAAAAAAAAGAAGCAAAATCTCCAGATTTCAGCAATAATAATAATAACAAAAGAAAACTTTGAACCTTCCGGACTACAAAATTCGTTGTGTTCAGACTCCCTACTCTATGTGAAATGCTTATGAAACAAATGAAATTCAGCAAAAAATAATAATAATAATAATAACAAAAGAAAACTTTGAACCTTCAATGGCTAAATGGAGAAGAGAAAGTTTTGACTGCTTGTAAAAGTTAGTCAATGGTGAATGGAGAATAAAATATTTGTGATGGATTGTAAGATTTTTTATAAATTTTTTAGATTTTTTTTTAAATTCAAACGGTTTGTAAGGACTTAAAGGTTTTTTTTTTGGTTAAGAAAGTATAATTTTATTAACTAATCAAAACATAACTCAACAGCCATTACAAACTCTTGCACTCAACCTATTCCAACTCTGGCTTCTTGCCTAATGATACCCATCAAAAATCTTGGTGCAACATCCATCCCTTGAAAATGGACAGAACTACTTTTGGCATGAGCTGCCAAACAATGAGTCGCCTTGTTTTGAACTCTTCTTATCGCATGAAACTCAATGGAAGGAGCCAGTATCGCATAGTTCCTGATATCTTGCTGAATAGGTGCAATCTCCCTTTGACAATCCCCACAACCTCTATGCAGGGAGTCAATGAGTTGCTTCGAGTCAGATTCAATAACTATTCTACCATACCTTTGCTCCACTGCTAACTTACATGCTCTCCTAACTGCATGGGCCTCGATAACCAAAGTGGATGATGCCGCCAGCCTTTGAGCCTCGCTTAAGATATAACGTCCTTCATGGTCACATATCAAAATAGAAAATGCTCCATATTTTGTCTCTTGGAGCAAAGCTCCATCACAGTTAATTTTTATCACTCCAGCAG